ACTGCTGTCATAGTTTGTGCCTCTTACTGTTTTTAACTTTATATTTATGTCTTGAGGCATATTACTAAGAACAGCATCATTTCACAAATTGAATAAGAGGGAGATAATTGGCAGATACTTGGAGCACTCTCGCTCTGGGCCACTGGGTGAGGACGGCTCTCTTCCCAGAGCAATTTATGTCTCCAGAGGAGAAGCAGGCAACTGATCTGTACCTTTGAAATCTTTAGTTTTTCTTCATGAAATCATTCTTTGCTTTTCCAGTGCAGCTCTGCAACCTAAGACTGTACTTTCCAGACAGAGCCCTTTGAATCCATTACCCCACAGATACACTGCCAGGGTCCCCTCTGACCGCTGTGAACCTGCTCACCCCCACGGAGTAGTTCTACAAGCATCATCGTTAGGTCAACCTAGCAGCACAGCATCCAGGATGCAAATGAGTTTTCAGAGGTTTCACTGGCTCTGCAAGGACGCACAGCCTCAAGATGAAGAGGAAGCTTGGAGCTCTGCTCAGGCCACACTGTGAAGCCTCTGTCTTCCTTCGCAGTCACTAAAGTCCAGAAGACTCACGCAGGGCAGCAGTGAAAACCCAGCAAGAACCAACCTTTCTCCAGTGTTTCTTTTACTGTGGTTAAATACATAGAAGCTACAGTAAAAATAAATTGGTTTATCTGGGCCAACTGTATGGCCTTAAACACCCAAAAGGAAAGTATGACCAAAGAGTAAAGGGGTCAATATAATTCTTTAAGAGTCTGTATGTGTAGCTAAAGGCTACATAACAAGCAACAATGCCAGACAGGAGATATCTTCTTTTGAGTTGTTGGCCAGAGTGGCCCAAGAGACTCCCAGATAGTAACCCAGCCTAGAACTGGGAAAATGAACAGCAGACCCCAATCTTATTCAAAGGAATATTGACAACTGATTGCTGCTAGATGAGGAACAGCTGACCTTCCTAAAACAAAGACCTCTAGATAGGCTGACTAGATTCACCGGATGGACAAGTACTGGGGAATGGCTGGGGGTGCCGACAACACAGCGGACAGTAGCAGAGATGACAGAGTATAAGGGCTCTAGTGGGGCGAGGGGGCGCTATGGGAGGGTGCCATCTGGGAAGTGAGTATATAGATGGTTTGGGATGTTCTGTGTGATATACACACAAAAAAATCAACAAATTAAAAAAATAAGTTATATTTGAGGAGGAAGCATAAAAATTTATGTCACGTTAATTAGTAGAGGTGGTAAACATTACCACTGAAATCTACCCGAAGACTTTATGTCCATACACAGGTGCCAAGGATCCGAGTGCAACAGACTATGACTAGTAATAATCAGATACATACAGATTAGAGACACATGCGCCAACATCTAAGCATTATTAGCCAAAACAATGTCTTTCTATAAGAAACAGTATTTTTAAAATGAAATGGAGATTTTTTTAAAGGTTAAAAACTCATTCAATTTTATGTCTTACAAGGTTTATTCTGAGTTCAATATTGTATAACTGTATTAATTCAACTGTGAACCTAAAAATTTACAGCGACTTTTGAAATATTTAAGA